CCGTGCGGACAGCCCGAATTGTGAACGCTGCCAAGTGCGCGAAACGATAGCTCACATATTTTGTGACTGTGCATTATACGTGGCGCAAAGAAAAATGCTAACTGCAACGTTGGCAAGCATTGGACGAACACCATTAAGTGAAAGCCACATATTGTCTGCTATGAACGACCAAACAGTGTCAAAAACTGCTACAAAGGCTGTGCCTGACTTCATAAAAAGCACTGGACTAGAAACTAGACTGTACGGGTACTATGCTAAGTGGCTACTGTACATACGTACCGCCTCTTCTTGTCCCCATTATCACCCTTCATCCCTCTTTCCTTCCCTTTTTCCTTATCCCCTGTGTAGAGTAGCAGGCTAGAGCGAACTAGCTCAGGCCGACCTCTCTGCCTTCTAATAAATTCTCTCTCTCTCTCTCATCCCCTTTTTTGTTTTTTGTTCTTATCTCTTTTTCCTTTTGTTTTTCTCTATATAATTCTTCATCTCGATTTCTCTTTCTTTCCCTCCACAATTCTTCCCGCTTTCTTTATTTATATCTTAGGTTCGCGCTTGCGTAACTGCTGACACGGCATTGCATTCCCGGATGAAGGATAGGATAGCGCGTGAAATTGAAGAAGTGTACCCGATTCCCGAGGCAAGTAATACTGGCGTCGCAAAACCCACGGTCACGTTACTAGCCACAGATTTGTTCTTCTCGGAAGCAACCTGGAATTCATCTTTCATGATCATGGTTTTTAACGCGTGTTCACTTAAGCAAACATATGTTCGTTTTTTCACGAAATACTGAGCTCATAGTTAGCGCTTTGTCCGGGTTACTTTCTCGCGTGTTTTTGTTTTTTTTTTGAGCCCCACCTCACTAAGATGATTCTTCCTTAATAGCAAAAAAACGTTTGTGTTTCATAAAATTGTCTTGCGTGATACGCAATGGCACAAATCTGCGAAAACGTATTACGTTAAATTTACGTGTGCGCAATAAAGAATGCATTAATGTGGGGAAGTTTTTTCGGCACTGCTGGAGAGTGTCTCCTTCAGAGCGTAATTCAAAAAGGATTCCCAGTGATCAGTCTGGCGGTGGCTTTTATTGCAGTTAGCGACATGAATTTAAGCGCCTTTCATGAATATTTTCAGTTGTAATATAGCCAGGTTGAGCCATTTATGCGCATGTACAGCTCTGTTAACTATTTGCAGATAGGGAGGAATAAACATAATTACAAACAGATCAAAGTCTTCACACATGGGCCGTCTTGGTAGTCCAAGAAATTGTGGACATTCTTCCCGCTAAGGTCAATCATGTCGCGGGGCAAACCTCAAATCTGGGCTTCCCTCTGTTGTCGAGTCGACTGCTTTACCTTGCAAGCCACTAGTTGCAAGCCACTACGACTATTTCAACCTGCCAAGTTAGGCGACGCTGGTAAGTGGGAGACTGAAGTACAATTCTATTTTAGCTCTCCCGACTCCCGCCCCTTCAAAAACACGTCTACGCCCTCGTTGACTCATGACAGCTAAGATGCAGAGCAGTTGCAATTCAATGCCTGTTCGAAGAAATATAACAATTTTTAAAGGTGGGAACAGCGTGCGCTCGGTCCATGAAGCGTTTCCTATTTGGTTTTCGCCTGCACCTGCCTCACCAGTGATGTAAATTTCAGGTCAAGCGATCTCCAGTTAAGGCATGAATGAGTGGTCTTGCGTTCTAGAGCCCCTGATGAGAGGTAGCTTGCTCTGCAGTATCTTAGTGCAAGGCGAGAGAGCGTTGCACAAGCGGCCAGCAATGCAGAACTCCTACCGCTCATTGTAGCGAAACACGGAAAAAAAAACCTTCTCCGCAGAAAACTAAGACAGCTATGTTACGAAATCTCTTAATACATAATTACGTGACTGTTCCGCTGAGTGAAAATTTTACTTCAGTTCGTTTCTCAGTAGACAGCCGACAATGACCACTGCCGAAGATGGGGGTGCTAAGAGCACCTTAATATTCTCAATGGAGGGGGGGGGGGACGCGCCCTCCTTGCCCCACCCCCCGGGAGAAGTACGAGACATTCAGTCGGCTTGGCGTGCGCCGAACGATTGTTTCTGAGAACAGGACACAGTTCCCTAGCCGTGAATTTGCAACGTTCATTGAGCAAAATAACTCGCACATTAGGACAGTCCCTTTCCACCCACAATCTAATGGGGCTGTTGAACGAACCGCACGAATGGGGAAATATGAACCAAGGTATATATAAACTGGTAGCATAACTTCAATAGAAGCCCATGTGTCCAGTAGTTGGCGACTCGTTGGCCCCGTCGCCATCTACGTAGGACGGGACGACGAACAGCAAATAAAAAATAAAAATGAACTATGACGTCACAACCAAAGTGGTAGCGACATTGCGCATTTGCCCTACATGCCACGTAATAGAAGTTTTTTTCTTAACTGCTGGCCTTTTACACGCCGTACGTGATTTTACTGTGCCTTATGGCTCGCTAATTGCATGCGCGAGATAAAAGCAGGACTAACAGA